TAATAGTCCTGTCAGTAATGATAGACCGGTCCCAGTACAATGTGATTTGGTAATTTTCCAGAACTAGGTCGGGCACATACTTGTAGTATGGTACCTCAGATTCAACAAGTCGATAGTGTAAAGCAAGTTGCTGATGGATAATCTTGGCTACTTGATATTATGCCTATGTAAATATTCACTGTTAGTATTGTTATACAAGTTAATCCTTTCTGTAAAAGGTAGGATTGGTAAAATAAGTAGAATCTACTACTCACCACCCACCCACTCCTGGTTGATAGCGCTCCCAATCCGATACAACAATCCGACTGAGCTTACTTTTTGGTGCCTTATATCGGTCAGTGGCGCCCTAAATTTGAAGTCTATCGACTACAGTCTAAGTCTATACACTACTATACGAACTATCGAGCGTCCCCGAAATATATCGAGCGTCCTCGAAATCTATCGAGCCTCCTCGAAAACAATCGAGCGTCCTCGAAAGCTATCGAGCGTCCTCGAAATCTATCGAGCGTCCTCGAAAACAATCGAGCGTCCTCGAAAACTATCGAGCCTCCTCGAAAACAATCAAGCGCCCTCGAAATCTATCGAGCGCCCTCGAAATCTATCGAGCGACCTCGAAAACAATCGAGCGTCCTCGAAATCTATCGAGCTTCCTCGAAAACTATCGAGCGTCCTCGAAAACAATCGAGCGCCCTCGAAAACAATCGAGCGTCCTCGAAAGCTATCGAGCGTCCTCGAAAACAATCGAGCGCCCTCGAAACCTATCGAGCGTCCTCGAAAGCTATCGAGCGTCCTCGAAATCTATCGAGCTTCCTCGAAAACAATTGAGCGTCCTCGAAATCTATCGAGCGTCCTCGAAATCTATCGAGCGTCCTCGAAATCTATCGAGCGGGATCGAAATCTATCGAGCGTTCTCGAAAACAATCGAGCGCCCTCGAAACCAATCGAGCGTCCTCGAAAGCTATCGAGCGTCCTCGAAATCTATCGAGCTTCGTCGAAAACAATTGAGCGTCCTCGAAATCTATCGAGCTTCCTCGAAAACAATCGAGCGTCCTCGAAAACTATCGAGCGTCCTCGAAAACAATCGAGCGTCCCCGAAATATATCGAGCGTCCTCGAAAACTATCGAGCGTCCTCGAAAACAATCGAGTGTCCTCGAAAGCTATCGAGCGTCCTCGAAATCTATCGAGCTTCCTCGAAAACTATCGAGCGTCCTCGAAATCTATCGAGCTTCCTCGAAAACTATCGAGCGTCCTCGAAAACAATCGAGCGTTCTTTAAAGCTATCGAGCGTCCTCGAAAGCTATCGAGCGTCCTCGAAATCTATCGAGCTTCCTCGAAAACTATCGAGCGTCCTCGAAATCTATCGAGCTTCCTCGAAAACTATCGAGCGTCCTCGAAAACAATCGAGCGTTCTTTAAAGCTATCGAGCGTCCTCGAAAGCTATCGAGCGTCCTCGAAATCTATCGAGCTTCCTCGAAAACTATCGAGCGTCCTCGAAAACAATCGAGCGTTCTTTAAAGCTATCGAGCGTCCTCGAAAGCTATCGAGCGTCCTCGAAATCTATCGAGCTTCCTCGAAAACTATCGAGCGTCCTCGAAAACAATCGAGCTTCCTCGAAAACTATCGAGCGTCCTCGAAAACAATCGAGCGCCCTCGAAAACAATCGAGCGCTCTCGAAAACAATCGAGCGTCCTCGAAATCTATCGAGCGTCCTCGAAATCTATCGAGCGCCCTCGAAAACAATCGAGGGTCCTCGAAATCTATCGAGCGCCCTCGAAAACAATCGAGCGCCCTCGAAAACACTCGAGAGTTACTCGAAATCTATTGAGAGTCCTCAATTACGTTCGAGAGTTACATGAAATCTATCACTCGAGCTTCGAGAGATAGCAGGAGACGCTTTGTGAGTAGGTCCAAACAATCTCTATTGGATAAAACTTAGATGCGTGTCTCTCCTAGCCTTCCGTCCCGCGTCACAGCAGCGGCGCAGGGGGTAACTTCTAAACCGATTGCTTTGAATTTTTGCAGACGGAAAATTAGAAGTCCGGATTAAATAATAGGGTACTTTATATCCCGGAAAATTTTGGTATTCCCGAGGGAAAACAAAAGTATTGGTACAGATGGCGCTGTGTGTATTGGTATAGGTTACTTTATCCTTTTGTGACGCGAGCGAAGCCGCGGGTAAAAGCTAGTAATAAATAAAAATTATAAGTCCCGATTTCTTCACGATGTTTTCCTTCACCGTTTGTCAGTGGTGTCTGAATAATCTTAGAAAGTACATATAACTCGGAAAAAGTCATAGGTAGGTACTTGCTGTTGGTAAGTTTTGAACTCGCACCCTCATGCATGAGGAGCGGGCGTCTTAAACCTCCGGGCCAACCCGACATTTTAGTAGGCTATAATCAAGTGCACATCTTCTTTACAAAGATATTGTAAGGAGGATGGTTGACACTTCAGGTGATCGAAGGGCTGGCTTCTACCTTGGGCAAAGGTTAAGCATTGCCATTCAACGTGGCAATGCTGCCAGTCTTTTGGGCACCCTACCTCACGGTAGCGATGAGGAAAATTTTTTTTTGATGCCTTATTATAGCTTATTTATTTATTAATTACCTTTTTTAAGGTGTAAATATTTTAGTTCATAGTTATTTATATTTTAACTCGTCGAGTACCGGTTTTATAGACACAATTATAGAACAATAGGTTGCGGTCACCGGTGACCGCTTGGTGTTTGACAGTTTAAGTTGTATATATTTTCATTTAGTTATAGTTAATATTAATTGTATATATACTATAATAGTAGTTGTTAAAGTTTACTTCAAATCGATTTATTCTCAGTATCAAAGTCAAAGTCAAAATCATTTATTTCACATAACATTACATAACATCACGCCTTTTATCCTCGACGGGGCAGGCAGAGGTGCACATTATACCACTGTACAATGTAACACCCACTTTTCACTATTTATGTTATGAGTCCTATGTAATAGGGGGTGAGCCTATTGCCATATACCGGGCACAGTTCCAGACTCCGTGCTACTACTGAGAATTTTTTTAAAAACTCAGTAACTCTTTGCCCGACCCCGAGACCTCTTGCTCCGCAATCGCAATTGCGACCACTCGGCCAACGAGGCAGTCATTAGTTATCATTTATTTTAATTAGACCAAAAAGGTATATTTGAACGTCAACCAAACATTATAAGTGATGCTATTTATATCTTTGCCGCGTCTCCGCCCGCCCGGTTGGCCTTATACTATAACTACACAGATTCCGTGCTATTACGAACCATGTAAATAACTAAAAGCATTGCTCGACTCTCAAATTCAACTCTGAGACTTAGGTTTGCAGTTGCAGTGTCCACTGCCACAAGGCAATCAACGATTATAAGAATTACAGTAAAATAACTGTACCAATAATTTTATGGCGTCGTAATCGTAACTTTGAAACCATCATCATAAAAGGAACTGGTTAAAAGGAGGTCGCCTTGTATACACCGTCTTTTTTTAAGATGGGAATCATCCAATGATTTCTCGTCTTGTGTGAATAGAATAGAATCTTTATTTGCATAAAATGGAGGTACATAATGGTGATAATAATAACATAGTCAAGGTGCCATATACATCTTGCCGCTTAGCGACATGCAAATCTTTATACAGTTCAAATACTTATATTATCACAGAAATAGAACATTTAACAATTTATCTAAATTATAAGTTTACAGTCTATACCTCACAGATCGCTCACAATTGTAGAATGTGTGTGAGTCGAGAGTGTCAGACTCTTACTTACTGACTGAACATCAGCTCGTTCCTACTCCTGCTTTGAACCGAAGCCACAGTAACGAGGTTAGGTTGTTCACAGCTCCGGAGTAGTCCGCATTCTTACGGATGAAATCTTATATCTTACTAGCTACTTCCGCGCTCCTATTGGTCGTAGCGTGATGTTTTATAGCCTATAGCCATCCTCGATAAATGCGCTATCCAACACCAAAGGAAATATTCAAATCAGACTTGTAGTTACGGAGATTAGCGCGTTCAAACAAACAAACAAAAAAACAAACCCTTCCGACAATAGTATCTTATATTATATCTTATCCTCTTATATCTTATACTATTAAATAAAGCGGAAGAGTTTGTTTTTTTATTCTGTTTGTTTGTTTACGACCAATAGGAGCTGAGCAGAGCGTGTGAAACCGCGCGGAAGTAGCTAGTTAATCATAAACTAGGTGGATCTTGATTTTTGACAGAAAGAAACTACACCTACCTACACCGGTATTAGGGCGGTGAATGGGCAGACGGATCACCTAATGGTAAGCAATCGGCGCACCAGAGGCGTTACAAGTGCGTTACCGGCCTTTTGGGAGATAGGAATTTGGGGAATGATCCGAAGCTAAGGACGGCGGAAGGATCCGGGTGGTGTTTAGACAGCAACTCTGCCTCTCGCCTCACCTATCATCCACAGCCTATAAATGCCCACTGCTGAGCAAAGCCTCTTCTCACACGGAGAAGGTTTGAGCATTAATCACCACGCTTGCTCAATGCGGGTTGAGATTTTAAATTATAAGCCCAGGTTTCCTCACGATGTCTTCCTTCACCGTATAATTATGTCAGTGGTGTCTAAATAATCTTAGAAAGTACATATAACTCGGGAATAGTCATATTGGTACGAACCCGCGCCCTCATGCATGAGAAGCGGGCGTCGAAACCCTCCGGGCAACCACGACTGCAGACTGCAGGCTACAGATCAAGCTATGCTAAACCAGTATAATCTGACCGTGGACTATGCGGAAAAATAATGCAAATACAGTCCTTGATGAACTAGTTTCTGTTCAGTTGTGAACGAATTAATTTTCTAAATACTACGCGCGCGTTACCGCAAACAAATAATGGCAGGTCATTTGTAAATGAAGAATAATTCACAAATAAATGTGACATTTCGAAACAAGTATTGCATAATGTTTTATTATTAAAATTGTACGGTATTTTTATGATTATTTTTTTAGTTGTCAGTCGTTAAAAGTTAAAACCGTCAGTTGTGTTGTGGACGCGAATACGCGAACATAGACGATTAATGTAAACGGTGAATTGTTTTTTATTTTCGATATTTAAATAAGTGGTAATTGATACAGATAGTGTGTGCTTACTTTATTTAAAAAAACATATTTAAAAGTGTTACTTCATTTCATCGCTAAAGGAGGTAGGTTGCATTTTTAACCGACTTTAAAGAAAGGAGGAAGTATTTATTTTGACCTGTATGTTTGTAGGTAAGTTTTTGCGCAATTGTTTGCCATTGGCTGAACCCATTTTGATGTGGTTTTCAGAAAAGTTTTTGTTTAGGAGAAGATTTATATATATTATAATTAATACTGACTTCAAAAAAAGAGGGGATATAAGTCGTTTTTTTTCTTAAACATAGTTTTATGTTTTTTTTTTATCAAATTTCTTTTATATTCTTTTTTAAATTCCTTTTATAAAATTTAAAAAATGAATCCTTTTCCCCTTGGTCACGGCATCAAGCGTGAATGGCTGGACCGATTTCACTCATTCTTTTTTGTTATATTTGTTATTATTAGGAGAGGGTTCTTTTATAAGAAAAAAGGAGATATTTATTAATTATACTATGTATTACGAATACTTATTATTACGAAGTTCACCGGGTCAGCTAGTAGTTAATATATTAGACTTAATATACCCACTAAATTTTAGTAAATTAGACTTTTAATATTCCCATATATTTATTTCAAATTCTCTATAAATTACATTTTTAAATAATACTTAAAAAAAAATTAAAAATATAAAAATAGGAGCCGACCAGTAGCGGGAGCATGGTCCACCGTCCAAGCTACCGGTGATTAGGGCTTCAGAGACAGAAACCTCCTCACGATACGTGCCGTTTCTACGAGAACTGCCTTCTGTATTACGCCCTTGATCCATCCACCTAACGCCAGCCTCCTGAGATGGATGTCGAGGCTTTTAGGGATTAACCCATTGGAATCCACCTACCACATGTCGACAACCTCGAGAGCTATATTAATATATTTAATAACGTAATTTACCGAATGTATTTGATAATTTTTAACATGTGATAAGATCCATGACACATGTTAGTAAACAAACCACATTTAAAAAAACAATATGGCGAACATAGTACCTCCTTTCGTGACGTTAGTTATCTATATCTATACTAATATTATAAAGAGGAAAGATGTGTACCTATTTTTGTACGTTTGTAATGAATAGGCTTAAAAAGTACTGGGCCGATTTAAAAAATTCATTCACCAATAGAATGCTACATTCTTCCAATTTGACATAGGCTACATTTCATTGTGAAAAAAATTAAGGATCCTTGGTAAAATTTGAACAATATAACCGAAGGTGTAGAAAAATGAGTCTTAAAATGTCTTGCGTCGAATGCGCTGCCGAAACTATTAGCGATAGAACAAAATAATGTACAACAATATTGAAGAACATCATAATGTCTACAAAAAATTCCGCGGTAGCATAAGTCCAACTATTGTAGTTATGTCACTACAACAATGCAAATTTCCAAAAATAAATAATTGTCTACTCCGTACGAAGCTAGGACGGGCTGCTAGTATACTCTATAGCCGTTGTCAAAAAAAAACTATAAGCACAAGAAGAATTATTCAATTCGGTCCAGTAGTTCTCAAATTAACGCGTTCACCTCCTTCGGGGTTAAAGTCGTGATGTCACATATCAAGATACTAGGAAGACAAAGATAAAGATAATTTTATTTGCATAAACATTTTTTTTTTTTAAAAAAAAACGTTGCCCCACACTAGGATTTCCTCCTGTGTCGTGGGTGCGTTTACAAACATACAAGTTCACATACACAATGACACCCAGACCCGAAACAACACTTTGTGGTTCACACAAAGTGTTGTCCCGTGCGGGAATCGAACCCGCGACATGTTGCATGGCAGCCGGTTGCCCAGCCACCGCACCAACCGTGCAGTCTGTGTCTCAACATGTGTCATTCATACAAAAGCATGCAAGATGTTAATTGTTTTAAATCAGTGTCCAATACATCAATAAGTATATGTTTTGCCCTTTTTTTTTTAAGGGGGTAAATCATCGAATGACTGCTCCCGCCTGGGTGAGGCGGGAGGGAGTGTCAGACTCTTACTGACTAAAAACCACCCCGTTCCTTCTTCTGCACGTCGAGCCGGAGTCCCGGTTACCCGTTAGGTTCTCAGGGGCGTATCAATTATTTTTATAATAATTACTATTCATATTAAAGATGTTAAAATAATAATTATTAAATATTATTACGGTCTACATTAATACAGTTTCAAAAAGTAGTAAC